AAAAAAAAAAAAACCAAAAAAAAAAAAAAAAAAAAAAAAAAAAACCACCACCAACTTATATTTTTGAAGATTTTTCTAACTATTGCCACTCAAAGGACATTTTCTGCAGTGGTATGTACATTATCATTTTGGTCATTGACTTCCGAATCAACGAAATGTTGATTCTCCAAGGAATCTGAGTTTTCATGGCACATGTTACCACCTATCTTCTCCTGCTGACCTGGGATTTTGAATAAGTGTTTCTTTTGGTGCATTCCAAGGGCAGCAGCTGTTTTGCAAATTTTGGGGCACTGGAAGCAGGCAAAGCCTTTTCCGTTATGCTGCAGGATATGCCTCTGCTCGTGATTCCTTTTTGTGGAGAGATACAAAAAACTCTGAAAGCAGAACTGACAGTGGTAACGCTTTTCGCCAGTATGGATTCTCTCGTGGATTTTGAGGGTCTCGTTCAATGTGAACGCCTTGTTGCAGTACTGACAGATGAACTCCTTCACACCCAGGTGGATGCGTTCGTGTTTCTGTAAGTTTCCTTGCACTGAAAAGCACCGTCCGCAGGTCTTGCACTGGTACGGCTTCTCTCCGGTATGACACCTCATGTGCATTTTGAGTGTGGAAGGGCTCTGGAACTGCTTGGCGCACAGCTCGCAAACATAAGGCTTGGAAGTGACATGCCGGTGGGGCCTCCCCTGGCTCCCGGCCCCCAGAGCTTTGTCCACATCGCAGAGCTCACACTGCAGCTTGGGCATCTCCTTGTTTTCTTCTTCCTCCAGGGCCTTATCCTGAGGAGCTTTCCCCACGGCACAGTCCAGCTCTGCTGGGTATTTACACTTACTGCTTGGACTCCTGTTTCCGTGTTCTTTCCTCCAGTTGACTTTCCTCATTTTTCTCAACTGTCTGGATTTCTTTTTGGGTTTGTAGTTGTAGTAAGGGCGCCATGGCTTGTCAGTGGAATCCTGGTCACTCGCGTCATCAAATACCTCACTCATCTCCACACACTCGGACTGGCACAGCCCAAGTGGACTGTCACCCTTGGGTTCTGGGTCATTTTCTGGTGGCACTGTCTCCTCCTGCGTTTGAAACTTGGGTCTTCTCCCTCTTTTATAAAACAATTTAGATCCTAGGATGTGCCTTTTCACAATGGCTTCATTCCCAATTTTCACTGTTATTTGGCAAAGGGGTGCCACATTGCTATTTGTGGAGGTTCCAGGCAGAGCAGGTTTTGCAATGTAGGTTTCAATTTTACTGTTTTCTTCAACGATATTTGTGGTTTTGCTCACTGACCCTTCAGGATCAGCAACATATTTGGACTCCTCCGGTATTTCTCCCTTGCTAGGCGGTATAGTTTTCTTTTTCTCCTTGATGCTTTTGGGTCTGCTTACCAATCTACTCACTTTATCTGGCTCGGGTTTGCCGTCATCTTTCAGGGACTGACTGACAGCTGGGTCTGAGGGGGATCTGTGGTTGCTGCTGGTCGTGGCAGCAACAGCATTGCTGTGCATTATCACTGACGAAAACTGGCTGCTGTGCACAATGACCGAGGGCACGGAGCCGCTGTAGCTGATCACAGAGGCTGAGTTCTCGCTGCCATTACTCAAAGACAAAATAGGTGCATCCCCTGCCTGGAGGTCAGAAGCAACAGCATTTTCAGTGGAAGAAACTGACACTTCAGTTGAGTAAAAGTTATTGTCAGCATCAACTTTCAATGTCTCCTCTCCCCATTTGGTGCCTTCTGCATTTTGTACATTGGCTGAAGTGGGTATGTCCTGACATGCAGATGTTTCCAATGGGATGGTTGGGCTGCTGGTCAAGTTGTTTACACTATCTTGGAAATTCAGTGTAGGTAATTCAGAGCTGTGGGGATTCTGAACACAGGTACCAGTTGCAGACTCATTCATTTGACTGTTTTCTTGAGCATTTTCATAGGAAGAATTTCGGTAGCTCTTATAAGGAGCTCTCTTGCATTTCATAGGCAGTAGCCTATAAAGTTTATATGGATAGACAGTAGGCTTCAAGCCTCCATTTGCTGTCTTTTTACTGATGGAAAGTCTATGATCTATGGCATGGAAAGACTTCTGATGATTTTTGAGTATATAGTAGGTCATGAAAGTTTCAAGACAGAAAATGCATTGATACCGCCTTTCTCCCGTATGCCAAATTTCATGTCTTGTCCTGTACTCAGCCAATGCAAATACTTTATTGCAGTAATGACAAGGATATGTTCTTCTCCATGAGTGTACATTTGCATGTCTTCGGAGGCTGGATAAAGTCACATAACTACGTTTGCACACAACGCAACCATAGAGCATTTGCCCATTAACAAATTTAACCATGTGATCTGTATCTGGCAAGGTACTTCCAGTACTGGAAAATTCACCAACCTTATTTTCAGATAATAAAGGTTCTGGACTTGTGAATGAACCTCCATTTTGTCCAATGGTAGGATAGTTTTCTAAAAAGCATTGGTTTCCTCCAGGAATGGGCATGTGGCTTGACCTCATACAGATCTGCTCATGCCTATCCAATCTGTTCAGGGTGGTGAACTGTTTGTTGCAATACTTGCACACTAAAGGCTCCTGGGTTGGCTTGTGAAGCTGCATGTGGGCACTGAGCAGAGTGCTGCTGTCAAAGGATTTGGAACAACAGCTACAATTGTACACAAGAGGTGGAATCTCTGCTGCTGGCGGCCCAGAAACATCAGAAGGTTGGTTTTCATCTTCCCTGGAAAAATGGACATCTCCTTCATTGCTGGGAGATTCTGAATGAGAAAGAATTGCAGCTGGCTGTGGACTTCTTTCTTGATTAACCTCTAAGTCGGTTACTGGAGGGGGCGGTATATTTTCTGTAGTTGAATCAGAATCCTGGGGTATAGAGAATGTCTTTGGCTTTCGGCATGTTTTCGGTTTCGCAAGAGTTTCACAATTTTCTTTACCTGTTTTAGCAGGTGAACTGTTATCGTGTTCGTGTGCAGGCTGACTTCTGTATGCCTCGGTTATGGAAGAAACAGCATATGAGTGCTCTGCAAGTGTGCGCACAGGCTCTGCCTCGTGGCAGACGTCAGTCCTGTCTAGGCAAAGGCTAGCTGTTCTCATGGAGTCAGAGACCTTTTTGAAACTTGCTCTCAAGTCCAGTGGAGAAAACATGTTATTACTATTTTCAGTTTCAATGATGGAAAATGCATTTGTGATCCTTGGCCCATTATTGATGGCTGGTTCTTCATGCCTTTTTTCATTTTTTTCTTCTTTAACCACCCCCTTCTCAGTAATGCAAAATACATAGGGACCTGGGGAATTTGAGAAATTGCGATCAGTAAGATCTTCCAAGAATGATATTCCCAGCTTTTTTCCTGCAGCTGCAAGATCAGTGACTGTTTCCTGTCTTTTGACAACAACTGTGGAGCTGTAGATATAATTAAGTATTTCTGTAAACACTTCAGCTTTGAGATCATCCAGCTCCAGGACATGGCTGGAGATACAGATTGTATGGCTCCAAAAGATATTCTTGAAATACAGGCTTGAAGCAGCCAGGACATTGCTATGGGCTTTAAATTTGGTGTCTTCCACAATGATAGTGACATCACATAAAATGCCCCGAATACGCTGCTCATTTAAGATGGAGAGCACTGTGTCACTGTGAAAGTCGTCCTTGAGGTCCCTGGAAAGGGACATGACTGTCATCTGAAACAAGAGGAGAGAAATGGTCAGAGACCTTTCTGTAAGTGGCTTCTTCATTTCTAGATTATTTTTAACTTCTGCGAAAAACTTTTTTTTTCGGTAGAAAAATTCAGATTTTTATCTTATTCTGGTGTTTCTCCCAAGACTTCATATATATAAAGAGTTTTCCCTGGGTAAGTGGTAGCTACATGTAAAGGTACTGCCTGCTCAGAGAAGCAGCAAGAACTGAAGGAGCCATTCCTAATTTGTGACTCTGAAGGGCCTCTCAGTGGACAGTCACAGTCTGTGTGACCGAGTCCAGGCACCAGGGGCACCCTGCCTCTCTGTGCTGTTGGCCCTTGTGGGACCCATCCATTCCTTTTCTTCTTTCCCCTTTGCTATAGCCCAAGTAGACTAGGGTTTTCAAACAGAATTCTGTGAGGTTCTGAAGACAAACAAAAAAGGGATGAAACACAAAACCAGGAAAGTATGTTTCCAAGTCTACCATAATGAGTCTAGTCACAAGTTTCTAAATGAGCACAATTTAAAGGCACTGCGGCTCTTGTTCTGGTCTGAGGATCCCATCTCTGTTCTTCCGTACAAATGTTTCTCTCCCTCTCACTCTCTCTCTCTATATATCTATCTATCTTGTTATTCTCTATATAAGTCCTACATGGGGAGTCTGGGATGGCCAGAGCCTACTAACTGATATTCTAGGCAAGGGATAGTCCAAAGCAGAGGCCTTCACACTTACCCACAGTAAGAAACACATGGTGCATAGTGACCTAAGACCAAATGAAATTAATACTTACCCTTACTATATGTATGATGCATTGTTCTGTTCTAGTATCTTTTATTTTAAAAAAATGCTAACAGCAACTCACTAATTTCACTATTCACTAATAGATCACACCAGCAGTTAAAAATAAAACAATAAAACCTCTGGTGCAGGGGACATACTAACCATCTATTCATCTGTGCTATCCTGTAGCAAGCGAATCTTCTGAAAGCCACACAGCTTGATGCTTTAACTCCTGGTGGCAATGTCTTCCTAGCACTAGAGTACAACGTTTAGCTCACAGCATTTATTCAATTGGAAAGACCAGATGGCCACACAAAGCCTCTTTTTTACCTTTCTCTGATGCTGCTGTTGTAAGCTGTGCCCATTATCTTCTTTAGCGTTCTTTATACAAAGATCCATTTGATACATTCTTTTACTGCATTCAGCCATAGGAAAAAAGTACCTTTCTACTAACAAATTCTTCAGTTCAGACAAAAAGAAGACTATATTCACTATGTTTCTTTTTTAATTGTCTAGACAAGGAAGCTCAGAAGTAACTTTTATCATTGATTACTGTAGCCATTCTTAGCCTGGGTCTCTGGTGTGACTATTGTCTCACTTTCTTTGTTTAACATTGGTTCTTCTATTCTTGTTTACCCTGTCTTTTCATTGTAATCTTCCACGAATCTTTTCTAGAATTGTGGGGGATTATTTCTATAAATAAAAATGGAATTAAATGAAATGGAATCTTTTTTCTTTTTTTCATGACCGGTAACGGGATCGCAACCCTCGGTGTCGCACCCATACCGCGACCGGCAACGGGATCGCAACCCTCGGCATTGCGCCCGCACCACGCTCAACCAGTGAGCGGACCGGTCTCCATATGGGATCCGAACCCTCGGCAGGAGCGCCGTCGCGCTCCCAAGCGCCGCACTCTACCGAGTGCACCACCGGGCTGGCCCATGAAATGGAATCTTTATAGCTTCCTCTGCACCACTGAAGGGAGAAAGGGTCACACCTCAACAGATCTCAGGAGTCTGTCCATCCCTGGGTTACAGATCCATCACATACCTTGCTGATGTTTCTTTCTCCTTCTTTGAGGTCTCTCTGCTCTGGGCTCCTGGAAGATCTACTTTGTCCCCTGACTCATATATTCTTATCCTGCTTAGCTTCTCTGAAGTCCATACATTATTTTAATTCTTTATCTAGCCTGACTTGATAGTCACAGAGCTGACAAAACACATGCTATGTGACTGAACAAGGTGGCTTCTATTTTGGCTTAGGTCTATGGTGATGTCATTATTTTGTCCTTCCAATTAAAAACTATTGCTTCTTCCAAAACACTCCACTCCACAGCACTTTGAACTTCCGCCTAGGCTCTACTTACGTTTGGGCAATACAGTATTTCCTATCAGGCTATTAAATATGCTAGGATGTCCTGGATCAGGTTTATAATATAGAAATCCCCACCTACTTCTGTGGGAGTCTCTGATTCTTCCCTCAGGATATTCAATTAGGATAGTTAGCAAAAGGCCAATTATCTTATCTCAATCATACTTACAGTTAGAATAACATATATAATAAGAAGTATCAATATATGTCATTAAAACATCCTTATAACTTTGGAAAATCCAACTATGACATCCTTCAGGGGAGTATCTACCTTTGTGTGGTAGATACCTTTTTTACCTTTTAAAATCATAGTTACTGAGTAGCACCTCGATTTGCCTTGTTGACTGAAAACTTCATTCTCGTGTCACTTTTATCCAGCAAATATGTTAAAACCTAACATGGTTAGTTAGACACAGAGTGTGGGTGCAGGAGAGATGGAAGGGAGTGAGGCAAGTCTCTGCCTTCAAGGAGCTCAGGGTCTAGGGAAAGAAAGAGAAGTGTTGACTCATGACTGGAACCCACGATGGTAGGCATCATGTGACAATTTATTATTTACAGGGGCCCTGCATTGCTTGGCATCGATGAATAAAAAAGTAACAGGGGTATGGGAAGGATGCTCTAAGCAGAAGGAACATTATGGGCAAAACAAACAGAAAATGGTAAATAAATGGGTACACTATACTCAGGGACTGATGAGTCGGTCTGTGTGGTGGCAGGAGAGGGTGTGTGCACTGCCCAGTCTCCAGTGTCCACAGCAGTGTCAGGCACATGGCAGCCTCAGCATGCACCTGCTGAATAAGATGGCCTAGGAAAGGAAGGGTCAAGCCAGATCATAAAGGGCTCTAAAGAAGTCTCCCCAGGAAATTTTACATGGCACGTAACAGGGAACCTGACAGTCATATCGTATAAGAGTTAAAAAAAAAAAAAAAAAAAAAAAACCATGCAGGCTGCACTGTTGAAAGTTCTGAGGGAGGCAAGCTGGAGGCAGGAGGCCAACTAACAGGCTGCCATAGGGGTCCAGGTGAGAAGGAGCCCCCCCACACACACACACAGAACCAGAGTCTGGGGAGGAGTAGATGGGCCCGCCCCCAGCTAAGAAAGCGGGCCAGGGGTGGTATGGGGGTGATATCTGAACTCAAAATTGATTTTTGGGGCGGGCCGGTGGCGCACTGCTACAGTGCGCCGCTTGTGAGTGTGGCGGCGCTCCCGCCGAGGGTTCGGATCCCACATACAGACCGGCCGCTTACTGGCTGAGCGAGGTGCGGGTGCAACACCGAGGGTTGCGATCCCGTTGCCGGTCTCGGTCCAGTACGGACGCGACACTGAGGGTTGCGATCCGTTGCCGGTCACGAAAAAAGACAAAAAAAGGAAAAAAAAAATTGATTTTAATTCCCTCTACAAATATTTATTGAACAAGTGCTGGGCAGAAGGCAGCAACTAAGTGCTACAGGAAGGCAAGAGTCCTCTGAACAGACGCTTACGGCACACCTATGACAAGCTCTGGGACAGGGGTTCCCAAACCTGGCTGTGCATCAAAATCACCAGTGGAGCTTTCAAATAGGACAGATTTACAGATTCCCCCTGCCCTGCAGAGATTCTGGTTTAGAACAGGTGGGGTGAGACCCTGAATCCATATCTATTATTATACCTTTTCATTTTGTGAATAAGTAATACATTCATATGACACCAAATTAAAAAGGCACCAGGAGTTAACACTGAAAAGTCTCCTTCCCTCCTTGTCTCAGAGGCTCATCTTGCCTCAGGCAATTTTTAATCAGCTAGCCTGAACCAAGCCTGAGGCTTGATACTAAAATCCTGTGAAACAAAAACTCCTGAGAAACAGAAGTTCTGCCCTCAAAGGCTTATGGGGGATCAGGGGAAATGAAGTGTTCATGAAAGACTGTAAAACGAAGATACCAGTGGACACACAGGATCAGGCATGCAGGGAAAAAGTTACAGGTGTTCAGAGGAGGGAGGCAGAAGGACAGGCTCAGACACTCTGAAGGAGGAAGTGACATTTACTGATCCCGATGGGGAAATTTAGCTCCATAGATATGGACAAAGGGAGAAAAGAAAATTGCAGGTAGAAAGAGGCAGAGCCAGAGTGTCATGTCTTCAAGTTTATAATCTAGGAGTCAATGCAACAGCTTAAAACAAAGAACCCAAATCCGCAAAAGAAAATTGGAAAAACAGTGAAACTTGTTGAAAATGCAATTTAAAGTCTTTAAGACTCTAGTACCCCCCTTTTCAATCTTAACAGTGTCTTCTACCTAAACCACCAAGTTTTGTCATAAATGCCTGCAGAGCATAGTTATCCAGCTCCTTGGACGATCTCAGAAGGTTTTACAGCTAAGAGTCATATTCTAAATGTACAAAGTGCAACAAAGAAATGAGTTCCAAGTCTGCAGACCAGAGAGGACCCCACCGTAGGCCGTGGGGCAAATCTGGTCCCCACAGGTTTTTTTGACCCACAAGGTTTCTTTTTTTTTTTAAAAGATGATCGGTAAGGGGATCTTAACCCTTGACTTGGTGTTGTCAGCACCACACTCTCCCAAGTGAGCCACGGGCCAGCCCTGACCCACATGGTTTTTGAAACCAGGTTTTTGAAAAACTGAGGTAATGATAAAAAAAAACTCTGAGATTTAACATAAAAACCAATATGGCTTTTCTTGAAAAAATAGGAAGACTGGGCAACACTGGGGTTGTCGCCTGCCTGGCAAGAAGGATTGGTGCCAAATAGCTGTGCCCCCTTCCACGTACACACTGCCTTCCCAAGCATTTATTACCAAGCAGCCTCTTTTAGCAATATGGTCTACCTGGCCCCTCTAGCCTTTAGGGTCAGTTTGTGCAA